AGTCCATTTTAGTACTAGACCAAACATCACACACACCAACAATAAAACTTGTTGTACAGAAGTGGGAAACACAATGGTTTGATAGGCATTTCTTTGCATACAGTGTGATTCCCACTCAAGTTTTGGCAGCTGTTGATGTGAGAGAGCTGCTTGATCACCATCCCCTACATGCAGTGAAGTCATTCAGCGAGACTGATGACAGTTTATACATTTCACTGCGCTATAGACTTTTTTAGAAAATCAGCTTACTGCCACCAGGTGTGTGTACAGTAGGTATGACACTTTGTAAATAGCATTTTTACTCGTCAAGTCCATTTTTTCCTGCCATATTTGTTTAGTGGTTAGCTATAAATGCTGCTTAAAAGGTGCCTTTGGACTACAGGGATGATCATGCGATGGAGTACTGGGATGTTTCTGTAAATACTGGGATGGATGTGATAAATTGTACAGTAAGTATTTTTTGTTTAATCTGTCTACATATCGTTGCTGTTGGGCAGAAACCTTGTGTCTCCATATTTAAACTATGTTTTTTATATTTGTAAATGTACTAATTCGTCATAGTGTTGTACAAAAGTAGTTCAAATAGATCTACAAGCTCCCAATGTCAAGAGCTTGTCGATTGGCTATTTCACAATTTTTAAATGTTAAAAATTATAAAAGGAACAATTTTGGACATACACGGTTTCCACCCGACGGTGACGATGTACAGTAGTAGTCACTGTCAGTTAAGAAGTTACATGTTTGTTTTATATCTTTTTCAATTTGCCGCAGATCTGCATGGTCCAAACTTGTCGCATTTTTCATTCACTCGGGTGAAAACTTTGGCGTGGTGCATATCTCTCACACCATGCATACTGTGTGCAGTCTTCTGAGTCCGCTGGTGTGGTACACTGATTTACATTACTGATGCTTATCCGGCAATTCTAGGTGGCTGTCACTGTTTGTTACATTAACCTGGGTTCTGTTTAGATTGAACCTGCTGTGCCACCTACAAGTCCTGATGTCCAACCAACTGCCACAACTCCACCCTCCATGGAGGACCAAACGGCACCTGTCGTACCAGCGATGATACCTCAAACACTACATATAATTCCACAATTTGTAAGCTCCACTTTTTAAGACTTGGGTTTCACTTTTTTCTTTAATCAACACTAAAGAGTAATAAACGATATCTGTGATGTTGTCCCTTCTTGCAATTTTCTCAGGATATCCGCCAGATTCTCACAGGCTCAACTGAAGGCAAGCTGATCCTGGGGAGCCTTGATGAGGATGTGATCATCCCTTCGCAAAGAAAGTGCCTTGTCCGTATTTTGGTGTCTCACCTCATGGAGAAGTTTGGAGAGAGGTAATTAAAAATAGTGGGTTTTTTTTCTTGTTTTTAGTGAATGTTATGTTAGTTTGAAAAAGGTATATGAATCTTCTTTCAGGGGAAAAGAATAAGACGGGACACTACTTTCAAGTCTGACCTTTACCTAGACCACCAACATAAACATGCACAACACATGTACCAAAACACACGTTCAGTAGTGTTTTTAATTTATTAGGATGCCTATTAGCTGCAGAATATGCTACAGCCATTATACTGGGGTGCAACACATGTTTTAGAAATACTTAAGATCTAATTTGACTCTGCTGGTAATTTAGTTTTTCTGTGTTTGCAGTCCTACCAGTGAGACAAAAAAGGCCTTGGCTGCAGCTTTGATTCATGGGTTTCCCTCCTTGAAGGACGAGTCGGACTCAAGCAGTGGCTTCGTAAGTAATTAACATTTTATTGAGGAATTGATGCTAAAACAGTCAGTTGAACACAATATAACTCATCTCCCAGCACCAGAGTACTGGACTTCTGTGCTGTTTGATGCCCGGTGTTGTCAGACAGACATACAGACAAACCCTGTTCTAGATGGCTCAGCCACATGTTGTCGCCACGCTATCAAAATGTGCCTCATCTCTATTCACCAAAGACTTTCATTTCTTGACAGGGATACTGGTTCACCCCAGGACGGAACCGCCGCCCAGCCACTGGATTCCTCGAAGAGAGGCTTCGGAACGTCAGAAAGAGGATGAGAAAACCGGCCAGGTCACAGAGCACGCAGCAGACACCACCACAAAGTAGTGAAGCTAGCACTCGTAGGACATTCATACCAGGTAATCGTTGGAACTGAATCATTTGTTTAAGCAATACAGACATATAATTTGAGATTGTTAATATCCTTATGTGTACTTTTATAGAATGTACCATATCGGAAGAAAGAGCCATACAGTGTAAAGAATGGCTGAAACACAATTCGCAGCCCCTCAACCAGGTGGAGCAATACATGCAGGATACAGCAGTGTACAGGTCAGTAGGAATGCACTGAGGACACTAGCTGCAGCACTCATTCAATGTCATTTTGCCTATGCATGCACCTCATGGTACTGTAGCACCTCAAGTCATTCAAATCTGAACTACAGACTTCTCAAAACAAACTACTACTAGACCTCTCACACCTATGACCTAACCCCTGCTCATTATGATGCTATAGTGGGATGGCTCAGGGGAGGACAGAGTACAGCAACTTGCAATGGGCCTGGTTTTCAAGGGACCAGTGCCATGTACCTGTCAAAATAAAAGGGCACAACACCAGTGGGAGCTCCACCAGCCATCAAGAAAGTGCAACTCCTTACCCTCCAAAACTGCCATACAAGAGCACCTGTCTGCAACTGCCCTCAGGGCTTTTTGTGATATCCTTTTAACATTCTTGTACTGCTGTACTTTCTGCAAACTATCAAACAGGGCCAAGTCTTTAAGGGAAAACGGGTGGGACATTCAAGGGATCCGCCAAGAGTTCCCACATCTATTCACTCCAGGCATGGTAAGTTAGGAAGGAGTATATGTTTACATATGATGTGGATGCATTGTTTATAACAATCTTTTATCAGTATGTCAGCTGCCACATTGAATTTTCTTTTTCAATTTTTCATTTAGATTGCACAGGACTTTCAGATCCTACATGGAGAGGCTGCGCCTAAGCTCTTCGAAACCTGGCTACCTTTGTTTAAAGACAAGATCCTGCACCTGGCGAGACGGGAAGGGAAACTTATCTCGTCGCTTGATGGATTAACACCCGGTAATACATTGTTATATTGTACAGCAGACTTTATTTTGCTACTAAATGACCAATTCACAGATATGCCATGCCACATATTGATACCTATAAAATTGTCTTCCTACAGATTGTTTGGGGGAACTTGCTCTGAGCCAGTTACCAACACTGCTTCCACCAACTGTCTACAGGGTTGGCCGAAAAGTGTTCCGGTACACTATCGAGGAGTCTAAGTTGGCCTTCATCGATCATAAGCCTGTAAGTCCCTCTGCATATCTAAAGGGAAATGTTATTCTTTTAATCACTTGAACCCAGCATCCATATTCTTGGGGGGGTGGCGGGGACATTAGCCAAACATGGCAGCTAGATCGGCTATTTTTGGCGAAGAGATTTGGTGAAGATGGAAAACAGTGGTCTAAAGTACAGAGCCAACCCAGGTCCAGTTTAAGTGGTTAAGAATGTGCCTGACTGCCTGTTATTCCTGGGCTCAAGAATAATTCAAAACATTGTTTCTGAATATGCATTGTATCAGCCACTGCCAAATCTTGCTTACTCTTTGCTTTTGCACAATCTTTTACTTTGTTTAATTTATCTTGTCTTTTGTTCTTTATTTCTTTCTCAGGTTGGAACAAACTTGGTGGAGTACCTCCATGAGGCGAAGGTGTCAAGACCTTACCCATATGTCCTGTCCCTGGGAAACGATATTTGGCACACCTCTCAGGCGTTCGTTATTCTTGATGGGGAGGCGTTGGAACAAAACACATTGCTTCAGGCAGTAGATGTCTGTTTCAAGGTATTCTATATCTTTGACATCGACTACACAAAGCAGTGTGAAGCTGTATGGAAATTCCTCCAAAATGCAGTGTACGAAATCAAGGGAGGAGAGGAGTCAAAACCTGCTACGTCCTTGCGTGCAGCAATACTTGCTTGCAAGTAGACTTGTGGTCTTGATCCTTTTATTTTCTTCTGCTGGTCCTCCTGTTCTATTCTCTCTCTTCTGCTGCTTGGCTCAGAGTAGGGTTCTATCTGGTTAAATTAAATATTGCTGGATTTGTGAAGTGTGTGTGTGTTATGTTCAAAATACTACCTAATGCTCAAAGTATTTTATGAGCAAGTTGTGTGCTAAAAAAAGAGCTAAATGGTGGAAGCATAAATTGTTAAAATGTTTATTTGCACATCTTAGTTTCCTGTAGTTCGGATCACCTAAAGGAGCAGTACATTGTTGTGATCATGTTGGAGGATTTTCTTTGTAACGTTTACATAGCCAGTATATGAACCAGTCATTTCTGAAAAAACGTATGTTGCTATTAGTGGTTCTCAAACCAGAGCTTGTAGATCTGCTAATGTGTGTTGTTTACAGGCTGTACTGTACATGCATAAATGTTACGTTTTGTTTAAAGAAAGTTTTGCACTTTATTGTGAACTGAATATGTTTGCACTTTATTGAACTGTCAATTGTTATAACAATAAAATGAATATTTTTCTAAGATTCCAACATTGTTTAAAAACGTTTATTGCATATTATATTATTTGCATGACCAAATATAGGATGCATTTTAAAAGGGTTTGTAATTTAAATGTTTAAGAGACATGGGTATTGCATTAAAAACATGACGATAATAACTTGTAGAATTAACCCATCGCAGCTATTATGACCCAGCATTTGGGTGTAATATTTAACCCAATTCATGGTAGAATTAACCCAGGGCTGTAATTAATTTGACCCAGCATTTGGATTAAATGTATAACCCATCTGCTGGGTTAAAATACGCAACCCATTTCGTTGGGTCAAATTAACTACTGCTGGGTTGGTCCAATATTGATCCTGGCGTTGGGTTAAAAAACGACCCAAATTGGGTTGTTTTTAACCCAGCATTTTTTAGTGTGTGCACACATGCAGCCAGATGAGAAGGCGAGAAAAGGCCTCTCACTGCCGTCCTCCTCCGGTCCTATATGGAAGCCCTGATTGAGGATTGGGAGCACCTGGGGAGAGGCTGCACCTGGGGACAATCAGGCTGCACCTGGGGAGTCAGAGGGAGAGAGAGAAAAACACACCCACGACCACACAAACACTACGGCACGTAACACTTCCCCCCATAAAACCAAACAAGTGTTTGGTCACAGTTACCAACAACACCCACCACCCAGTTCACCAGCATACCATTGGATGCTTGGAAGCTGCCACCTGCTGCTTCCAAGCATCACACTCCGCCGCCAAATGACCAGGGTCAAGACAAAAGAAACACAATCTCTTAGTGTCGGGACCTGGGAGAGAAACGGACTGAGCACGTGTGACACGTCCGTTACGAGCCCTACAGTGAGGATAACTGCCCTGAGGATACACTTTAGGTTTCAAGCACTCATCAGGCCCTTTGTTAACAGTGGCCCGTCCACTAGGACACACTGCTGTAACCAAACCCACCCCTTCTGGACGCCGGCCATCCACTGTCTGCTTTCTCTTCCAAGCTGCACAGTCGGCTATCATATGACCTGGGTCCAGACAAAAATGACAAGCTCTGTTTATCCTGGGACCTAACAATGGAACACTGGCACAGGGAACGTAATTGTCAGGAGCTCTACGATAAGTGTCCCGCTGAGGAGGATCACGCTGAAAAAAAACGCTCTTGTGTATCAGCGCAAACTCGTCTGCCAGAGTGGCAGCCTGCTGAAGGGTAGTCACTTTCTGCTCATTTAGGTAGACTACCGTACGCTCCGGTACACAGTGTTTAAACTCCTCTAACATCATTAGCTCGCACACTGAAGCAATGTCATCAGCTCTACACGCTCTACACCACCTGTCAAAGAGGGCTTTCTTCTCCCTCGCGAAGTCCACGTACGTTTGGCCAGAAGCTTTCTTCATGCCGCGAAAACGCTGCCTGTAGGCCTCAGGCACAAGCTCATATGCCCTGAGAATAGCACCTTTCACCTTCTCATACACCAAACTGTCCTCGACAGAAAGAGAAGAGCAAGCCGCTTGAGCCTTGCCGACTAGCTTGCACTGTAACAGAATAGCCCACACATCTTCTGGCCAGTGCAGGGCAGCAGCAATGCGCTCAAATGCACCAAAATAGACTTCCACCTCTGATTCACGAAACACAGGGACCAAAGAAATATGCCTGCTCACGTCAAAGGAGGCAGCAGGACCAGAAGGTGTAACTGCAGAATCACCCATCCCAGCTGCTTGGAGCTCTAGCTGACGCATCCGGACAGCAGTGTCTGCCTCCAGCTCCTGCTTCCTGATCTCCAGCTCCTGCTTCCTGATCTCCAGCTCTTGCTTCCTGATACCATTTTGGCTCACCAGCCAAATTACAAAACACTCTTACAATAAACACAACTATGCTGGGTCTCACACAGAGACATGCTGCACACATGCAGCCAGATGAGAAGGCGAGAAAAGGCCTCTCACTGCCGTCCTCCTCCGGTCCTATATGGAAGCCCTGATTGAGGATTGGGAGCACCTGGGGAGAGGCTGCACCTGGGGACAATCAGGCTGCACCTGGGGAGTCAGAGGGAGAGAGAGAAAAACACACCCACGACCACACAAACACTACGGCACGTAACACACTGTCATTCAGATTGATTAGTACTTCTGTTTCTTTTGAGAGGGGACGCCTTTTCCTGGGTAACTGTCTTGGCATCACGTATCCGTATGTTTCTATGTAGAAAAGGAGAGATGCAACATGGGTACATGTTGATCCCAAACCAGCCTTGCAGTTGCAGTTAGCTGTGATGACTGCACCATCCTTCATCAGTACCCACGGACATGTTGGCGGCAGCCCAATACTCTGAGAATGCAATACCTGAAAAATAAAATACAAAAATATTATTGGATTGTTGACTATTTAGAACCACCTTGTCATATGCTAGGTAGCACATAACAGAAGCTGACAACCAAGAATAGGTTCACAACTTTTAGAATTTAAATATATTGCAATATATAATAAAGCTTTATTTATAAAGCCCTTTTCATAAAGCACGTGTAGCTCAAAGTGCTTTACAATCACAAGTTAAAAATAAACCACGAGAAATTCCCCTCAGATCAGATGTTAAGACCTTTACAGCTACATAGCAACAACATATATATATACACATATAACATTTTAAAAGGTTAAGAGACACGGCGAGGTAAAAGGTATGATAATAAAAATACATAAGACTCAAGACTAAGTTAATTGATGCAACAATATAAAACCCTATAAAATAAAGTAAACATATAGATATAGGTACAACAAAAATAAAAGTTGGTGTTTAAAAATGTCCACTGAGTTGGCCTCTGATATTTCTTGGTAGCGTAGTGGATAAAAGCAGCCTCACCCATTTTATTTTGGGGGACTTTAGGGACATTTAAAAAGCCAGCTGAAGAGGACCTCATGAAATATTTACTCACTTTTTCAGCTATTACAGCCACATCTCCTTGACATGCAATGCAAACGTCGCGGATCCACCCAGATGTGAACTCTTTATGTGCCTAGAGTCCTTTGTACGCCTTCATTTCCTCCATGGTGTACAATGGAATAGGCGAAAAAAACAGGTAGTTCACGATATCACAGTAGGAAAGTGAAGGCCATGAATTTATATCGGTGCTGTAATCCTTAACGGGAATCAAATAAGGGTCCACCGAACCAATCGACGTACATTTTTCTCTGTAAACGGTCTTATCCTCCGGGTATAGTGATTCGTAATAGCCTTTCATTTTCGCCATTTTTGAACGCTCCCGCCAGTAGAGCATGGATGTATAATTAGAGCAGTAGAGTGGTACTCCAAGATGTCTGACGCGAAATCCCGTGACGTCATTAGGAAGCCTCTATAGGCCCCTGGTCCGCCCCTGGCTCCACCAGGTGTCCTAATGACATTCAGCTGGGGACTTTAAATGGAGAAGCTGGAGGAGAAGAGGCTCTCTTTTCCTGCCCTGATGCCGAGGGATTATATCCGTGGATTTCCTCTCACCCCACGTGTGGATCCATTATTCTTTTGCTGTCTTATACTGTGTGAACTCTGGAGGATGTTAGTGTAGGATTTTTTGCAGCTTTGTTTTTTTCCCAGTAGGTTGTGTTAGATCTCTGGGTAGAGGGGGGAAGTCTGGGTCCTACGGCCCATGGTGTGGCTGGCCCAGGCCCCCTTCTTGTTTGTTTATTGCCGTCCTCCAGACTTGGTTCCTTTTTGCTGGTAGGCATGTAAGTTACGGCTGTGCTGACAATAAATGCCCGTCCTTAACGATATTCTGTGTTTGGCGTGGTTTGTTTTTAAGTTACGGGTCTTCCCACGAGCCACTACCGCTTGGTAGAGGGACGGGTCGTAACAATCACAGAAGATGCTGAGTAGTTGGACCACAAATGCAGGATGTATAATTAAAGAACAGACGGCAGGAATTAAGGATACACATTCCCACAGAGGTAGAAGAGACAAGAGATACTTAGTCAGGAAAGGCAGTGGGAAAGGATTGAGAAGGGCAAGGACTAAATTAACTGCTCCTGAAAAGGCCAGTATAAGGCCATGCTGTTCGGGCCAGGTAATTGAAGAGCACTCAGATAAGCGGAAAACGTTGTTGCGTTTACAGGCTAGTGTTATAACTTTTCTTTTAATTAAATAATGTATTTGAATACAGAGAGACCATAGACTGTATATATATAGAGAGAGACAGAGGTTATACTTTTTTGATTCAAGATGAGATTATACTGACTTTTTAACCATCATAAGAGGGATGATACGGAATAGTTTTACATTTTAGGAAATTAATATGCTTTCTTGCAGAGAGTTTGAGAATATTGATACCATTACAAGTGTAATTGTAGCAGTAGCTGGCACCTGGTTAGCTTAGCATACAGACTGGCAAACAAACATGTCTTATGTCTAAAGGTCATACAACTCAACCACTGATGTTTAAAAGCTCTATAATCGACTTGATCTAGCTAACCTTTACAAAAAGCGCAATCTGCAATTTACTGAAAATGATGCGCCATACTATTGATGGTAACCAGGTTGACTCCATTAACTGATTGTAGCATCATAATTGATCCAGGAAATCAAGAGAATTGCAAGACTATATTGGTACATTTGTAGAAAAAAGTATTTGAAATTCATTTGCAGTGCCTGTATCTACTTTATTGTGTCCATGTTGTTTACACTTATTCTGTATTTATCTTGAAGAGTGCCAGGGTATCTTGTTTTCACAGTTTTCTTTTTATATTCAAAAAGTGCATGAAGAGAACAAAATAATTGTTAGGTGATGGATGTGTTTTCCCCTGTGGCTGAGGCAAAATGCCCAAGATGTGTTTTTTGTAGTTTCACCTAAATATTCCCTACGAAATGCAGAAAAGCAAACAGTCCAATTTAGGACAAATATCCCAAAAACTATTTTTCCAGAAGAAACATAAAGGTGACGGCGTAGAAAGATATCATGTGATCATAGGTGAAAGTAGATTGTTCAGAAAATACATTTGTAGTAAGCTATGGATGAGCTTCATGTAAGGTATTGTGCTGCATTAATCATTATATTGCAGTGTTAGCCTTTTGCAGCAAAACAAGACAATGTCAAAGGTTGAACATGCAAATTGAACGACTTTAATCTTCTTGAATGTATTTCCAAAGCCTGCAGGCGGTGTATGCTTTTAATAAACCAAATGCTGTTCTCGATACCGCACAGATTTTTAAATACCATTAACATTATATCTAAGAGGAAGTGTACTATCCTTGTTATTATTACTAGAACAGTGCTGAAGGCTGCCTTCACTGTGTATTTCTTTTTTAAACTTGTCACTTCTTCTCTGGCATTTCTTTTCCAAGAGCTCAGACAAGGTCAAATAGCATCCTCAGGTTATTTTCAACATTTTATTCTTTCAAGTAAATCTACAAATTTGCCATTTGAAAGGAACGTAATCGGAGCACATTACCATTACACTGGAACCTTAAAACTAGTTTTTCCAGTTAGTTTCTCATCCATTGTTCTTATCTAGCTACATTTTTGGTTGTGTAACTTTTAAGATTTCAGTTTTTCGTAGAATCCAATATAGACAAACCACATCCTCACAGTCATGATGAAGCAGGTTAGCATTTTTAAATGTTAAAGTCTGAATAAATAATACCAAAAATGGTCTTTCATCTTTAGTTCAAACCGGAGAGACGTGATGTAAGGAATACATATTTATTGTTTACACGTCATATGAATGAAATGATTGCCATGATAATACAAAAGGAGAATGGAATGGTGTTTGGCGATTAGGCCCCGGTTTGCAGGATAATCATTCAGGAGGGAAAGAACCGCTCCGATGAAATCCCCAAAACCAGTGAAGTATGAAATACTAAGATGAACTGAGTTTCTTACCTTGTGGGGTGACTGGTGATCTGGGGATGAAATAATAGATTAACATATGTATGCGGCAGTGGGCCGGAATCACTGCCGGAGCTTACGGGTCATGCTGAGACTCTGACTGCGGAAATCAGTGCCGATCTTATCTGAAAACGACCTGAGGGTCGCCTGCCTGGCTAGCAGGGCTTGACTACGCCGCCCGAAGGTAGAACGTCCTGCCGGAGCAGGGATCTTGTTTTGTAACTGACACCGAAGTGTACGGTGGCCCAACGTCCATGACACCGAAGTGTACGGTGGCCCGAAGCCATGACACCGAAGTCTACGGGGACCCCCGGTCCACACCTGACTTCGCAGGGTATACATTTTACACAAACACATTTGAGCAAGGGCCTGGGATTTAGATACCTGCGTGCAGGAGAATGTAGCCCGTTACATGTAGATGCAGCGTGAGACGAGACATTGTTCCCTGTGGGCGGGGCCCGCGGACTAGGACGGGAATGCAGTTTGAAATCCGGTACCATAATGAGACATGTATACGTGTTATGAACCACCACCAGTTATATGCATAGATACCATAGTTAGGGTCTGAGAGATCTTTGGGAAGCCAGTACGGCGCTGATGTCCGGGCGAATGTAGGTTGTGAAGGCGGAGGAGGACCACCGTCCTAGTTGTTGTAGGGATGAGGTAGAGAGACCTTGATTAGCAGCAGAGGTGGCTGCACCTATCCTGAAGGAATGTCCCGAGTATGATATAGGTGCTAGGCCGGATTTAATGAGAACTTGCTTGAGGTAGAAATTCACGGGGGCCATGGCCCTGCGAACCACTCTCCCTGGAAGAAACCCCCAAAACCCACGGATGGGGCGGCATCCGTGAAGAACCTCATTGAGTCAGAGGAACGCACAAGGTCATCGTAAAAGAAAGTAACTCCGTTCCAGTGGGCGAGCAGGAGGGACCAGAAACGTAGGTCTGAGCGGCAGCCTTCGTCTAAGAAAACGCAGTCATGGAGGTTGTCGAATGCTGCGTCCAGGAGGCGGGAGATTAACGAGCGCCCCTGGGGGATAGGGGTGTTGAAAATAATCGTTTCTACGATGCATTGCGATGCGGACGTGGACGATTCGGTATCGATGCAGTGACGGAAGATAATCGGTTATAGCGTAGTAACGTTGCTTCCTGATTTTCCGGCCGCGGCTTTACTATAACATTTTTTTTTCTGTCACTTTAATATCAAATCGGTCGGTGACGCAGAGATCAGGGAACAGACGTGACAGCAGCACAGCAACACCAAACATGGAGCAGTCTGCTTTATCCACCAACACAAGAACACCAGTCCAGAACCAACAACAGAAGGACCCGCTCTGAATCAGTCCGTGTCGCTGCGGCTCAGAGACACAGGGATTTATGTTTTTCAAAAATAATCGCGTTACAATCATGTCAGGTTTTTGGTGGATTTAATTAAGTTTTGGATTGCAGAGTATGAATGTCCTCTAGCAATTTTCAGACGATATATATACACGTGTGTAAAGTTTGTGAAGGCAGGAGGAAAAGCTTCCGCGATCACCGTCTCCGTTCCTCCAAACCCCGCCCCCTCCCTGAAAATAATGAGTGACAGGCTGATAGTGACCCGATAGAAACTTTATTATTCACTTAATCACTGAGATATAATGAAGCTAACTTAATCTCATACATTCATGGGATTTATGTAACAGTAAGACAGAGAATGTAAGTGTGCACCCACATGCACTATTTTAGTTGTTATATGCTGTTGTAAATACTCCTGTTGTCTGCTGTGTTCAGACTCAAGTCCTGTGTGATGCCACATTCAGTGTCCTTTTTTTTTTATAACAAAAGACTGTTACTAGAAGATGCAGCTAGACTGCAGAAGCATTATTTTTTGTTTTTGAGGCTAGACCTATACAATTCATTTATTTTGGTTTATAAATTAATGTCAAGACATTTATGTTATTGATTTCTGAAGCACTTTCTAAATAATAAAAAGAGAGTGCATATGTATTTACTGCATGTATGCATTGATGAAAAATAAGCCATGTGCAGTAATATAGAAAATTGAGGATGCAACGCATTGGTATGAATCGTGATATCGAATTGAATCGAATCGTTGACAGGATAATCGAATCGAATCGAATCGTGAGACCAGTGAAGATGCACAGCCCTACTGGGGGATGACGTGCATGGCGAAGTTGAGGTCTCCGAGAAGGGAGAGCAACTGTTGTTTTGTGATAACTTGTTGCTCGCAGTATGACTTGGTGATGTCCCGGATGCGCTGCAATTTGACGGAGGGGAGAGACGCCTTCATGTCTATGGAGTCGAGGATGATGCCTAAGAACTCTAAGCGTGTGTCGGGACCTAACGTTTTCTCTTTGGAGAGAGGGACACCTAACTCCTGAAGCAGTGTTTAAGCTTGGCCAGTGAGATCCCTGAGCTGTCCTGTGGCGGGTCTATGGGGAGGAAGTCGTCCGGTAGGTGAAGGACGGAGGGGATTCTGACGATGTTCAGCAGGATCCAGCAGAGCGCTTCCGAGAAGGAATTGAAGATGCAGGGGCTGCTTCTGCACCCGAAGGTCAGGCGAACGGCGAAAATAGAGTTTGGACTCCCACTTAATACCGAACAAATTCCACTGAGACGGATGAATGGGGATGATTTTGAAGGCATCGGTAAT